GCCACATATTGATTCAAAGAAGCTTAACACAGATGAAATTAAGTCTGCAACATCTGTTTAAGGTCTTGCATGTTTGCAAACCTGGAAGCCCACTGTAAAATTGGGACCTACTCTGCTGTCACCGCAAGGGGTTTTCGTTCCTAGTATTTGTGTTGTGGAGTCGCAACTTGCTGAGCTTGTCTGGCAACAGTGGAAACTGAACAGGACCCCTAATTCCGCTTCCCACACTTGATTAATGAATGCGCAGCAAATTTGAACTAACTTTTCTCTGTGCTGCCTGCTACCCTGCTCAAAAGACTCCAGATCACAAAGAAGACTTCTCAGTGTTTTGAAGGTCCTCTCATAAAGACTTATTTCCCAAAATCTCTGGATACCGTTTCTTACTTTACAGTTCACACTAACTCACATTTTAAAAATACCCACGCATCATTTGGGAATGGCCTATATGCATATAAACTGAGACTTTGTCTCAGGAAATAACCTGTCTGAAGAAAAAGCTTGATTATTTATTATATTTACATTACCCTTTTTTCCTTCGAAGAACTCAAAATGGCTTACTGCCAGTCCTGTTTATTTATCTGGGAACAAGGACCTTATGTGTGTATCATTTTCAACTAATGCAAGGGAGGTGGAAATAAACTTTGGAAAGGTATTCTGCTGCTCCAGTTGCTTTACTGGGCTAACACAAGTTGAAATCTGAGTTCATGCAGTGGAAATGGGGCTTAGTACATTTTCAGGTGCCAAGAAAGGTATCCAGGTGTGTGGGTACCATGTTTCTTGCTCTACAGCAATCCCAAGAAAAGCAACAATACTGAACCATTGCCATTGCTGGAATCATCTGGGAATAATACTGAGTGCCACCATGAGATTGTAAAACCTTGTGATTCGGGGAAGCATGTCAGTATGTCTCAGGAGCGGAGCCAGCTGGTGGCGGACATCTGTCACTGTGTGTTGTAGTGCACATGTGAATGCAAACTTATATCTATAAACATGTAACCGAGTGACCCCCAAAGTATGAATGGTGCACTCATGCCAGATTGTGCAGGATACTTAGACAAAGTGGGGGACAGACATCAGACTTGCAATGTTCAGGTGTTGCTATACGACCAATATTTGTAGAAAACAAAGCACAGATTAGCATATTACCCTCTGGGACTGGATTGGCCAGCTATTCCAAATAGAAGTGGTGGAGCAAGAAGACAAAGGAGGAGCATAATAGTTTGCCAAATAAGGAGCAGGGAGGATGGCAGGGAAAATGAGAGACAATACTTGGCCACCCAAAGGGAATATAATGTAGAATGAGGAGCAGAAAAGAAATACCTTTTTTTTAAATCCCTGGCTAAGCTGAGGAAAATAACAAAGGAAAGCAAAAGAAGCTGGCTAACTGTTGGATTTAGTTTTCTTCATTATTAGATTCTTGGCTTTTTGCCTGAGCTGATTAAATACAACTTCCATGGGACAAGCAGGTGGCATTTCAGAGAACTTTGCTCTACGGTGGGAATCAGCTTGGGCGATGCTGTCACCATTTGGACACTAGGTAGGCTGCAGGATCGGTCCACATTTCCTACCAAGCTTTATATTGGCTAATGCATGGATTACTTCATGACTTCCATGACAAGAGAAGTGACCTGGAAGCGAAAAAAGGTCTTTGTATTAATCCAGGGTTCCCATTGACTTACATGAGGGTAGCTCCCATTGATTGAGTCGAGGTAGAAGACACAGAGATTGTGAGTGCTAATCACAGTGAAGGCAGGCAATTGTCACACTGTGCTACCACCTTGATTCTTGGCTTCTTGATTCTAGCTGCCGTCTCTTGTCCATGCAGCCTTTCGCAGAACAAATGCATCATATGGTGCTACGATGATGCCAGAAAAACACGTATGTTTAAAAGGGTCATGGCTAAGTTTCTCAGAGCACCATCTCATAGCCCTGCAACATGATGAGGGGTGACATAGGATCCTTTGGACCTTGGTGCTGGGGCTCTGAAGGCCTAGCCCTTGCCCTGCCCCCTCACAGCTGGGGTGAAAAGAGCACCAGCCCCTCTCTGAGAACGCACCGGCATTTGGAGAGCGGGAGGAGGCCAGGGCTGTCTCCCTCTGCTGATTCCTCTGTCCACCCAGCCTCCTTCGCTCCCTGGGCCTTTAGCTAGACCGCTGAAAACAGCTGCCTTGATGACATGCAGGAGAGTGAGGTGCAGCAGTGGTGGGGATGCAATGAGCCTCTTGAGTTCACCGGCTTACGTACATCAAGGGTGGAAGCAAGAGGACTGCACCCTTCTTGCATTCTCTTTCCACCCACTCATCCTGGGTAAATGGTGAAAATATTTTAATTCCTTAGTCTGTTGAAGGATATTAAAAATCTGCATATTCATGAAGTTACTAAATCTATCCACAGCCACTATGACAATAATTTTCAGATTTCTCACCTGTTGCGTTAAATCCACCTATATGTTGTGGGAGTTGACTTATGTAAGGATGGAGAATGCACTGAATGAGTGCATAGCATGTCAATTTTTCTGGTATGGCTGCTTCCTTAGTGACTGAAAGACAGGGAGGATCAACGCCCCAGACACCTTCCCCACATTATAGAAGTCAGGCTTTGTTTGTTTGTCTGGCTTTCTTTTGTTCAGCCACCCACTTCCTGTGACGCATGTTGATATATTTGTTTTGACCACCCAAGTGCTAGCACTGAAATATTCAGCATGCAACCTGACTCTATAAATGTTCAGTACTGACTCATGTCAGATCTTGGCTATTGAATTCAGGCTCCACACAGATGTTGGTAACTTGCAGAGCAATCCTGCCATAGCAGCAGTGGAGAGATTCCATGGTGGAGCAACCACCCAAAGTCCTGCCAGCTTGCTGAGCCCAGGAGGGAGTTTGTTTGCTTTTACTCCCCATCCATTTTCCAGTCTCACACCACCAAATGACAGCAGCAGATGGGAGTTAACTAGGCCAGCTCCAGGCCAAGTGTAATTTCAGCACCTGTTGGGAGAACGAGGAGGCCTCCCCGACACACCTCATCTTGGCCTTCAGCACCAGCCAAGGTGGAGCCTTCTGCTGTATCTCCTGGGGGAACCTCTGAGGGTGAATGTGTTGTCCCACCAAGTGGCAGCTCTGTCTGCTGGAAGAGCACAGCACTGTGCCCTTCACTGAAGCATCCGCATGCTTACACGCTGCTCCCTAGCTGGGCTCCTTCCCTTTTCTACTCTGAGGAAAGACAGTGAAGGAGGAGCCTGGGCCTGAGCTGACCTTAATGCCAACCAGAGCTTGGCTTAGTCTGTGCTATCAGACACGTCTCTCCGCACTGTGAACATCTCTTTGCACACCACATTATATTCAATCACAGAAAGGCCCTGGACATGCTCCCAAGCAGGATGGTGGTGGCTGGGCATAAAAAGGCCACGCCTGCCTGCAATTCTACCATGGTTCAAGTCTGTCTACTCCCTACTTTCTGCCCAGAGGGATCTGCAAGAAAGGAGCTGCAAAGTTAGGGGCCCAAGGAGGGCGTTAGCTGAAACAGTGAGTGGATAGCACGGCATTGCAGATCATGGGCTTCTAGAGGGCAGTTTAAAAATTTGTATCCTGCCAGGCAGACTGGAGAAAGAGGAAGGAGCAGGATGATTAACAGGTAGATGCACGGTAGTTGTGTAGAGGTGCTCCACATGATTAAAGGGGCACTGGGGTCACATTTCATCCTGCCCAGCAAGGTAGAACACACTGAGTGTGACAGTAGGAAGGGGTGCCCTGAGCACCTAGAATCCTCAGGTGTGACTTTTCATGGGAGCAGAAGCCCTGGATGGTCAGAGGATCTCACCAGCAATGTGAGGGTCGTCCTGCCTTTTTTCCTCCACTCATTTGTGCACTTTTCTCATTTTGGTCAAACAGGAAAAGTACACATTGCAAATGGAGAAAACTAGTGTTTTCAAAATGCACATCCCTTCCCGCAGTACAGCAAAACACAAAAATACATATTTTGTTGAGCAAGAATGCAAGTTTGGGAATTGGTTTATTTATTTATTTATTCATTCAATTTATATCCTGCCTTTTTCCTACAAAGGGCTCAAGGCAGCTTACATCATTCTCCTCCTCCGTCTTATCCCCACAACAACAACCCTGTGAGGTAGGTTGGGCTGAGAGTCT